ACCACTTGTAACTGACTGTGTGTGTATGTAACTCTCTACCTGTAACTGTGTGTATGACTGCCTGTGACTATATGTGTGACTGTCTGCATGTGATTGTGTGCGTGTGACTGTCTGCCTGTAATGGTGTGTGAGGGGTGCAGAGATTTTGTAGAAGGGTTCTCTAGTATCATTCGGGTTCTCGGGTGAGATACTTAGAGCTATAATGGCCCTATACAGTGATCCCCAAGGTAGAACCGTGGGTCCTGGAATTAAGTCTAAATGGTTTGGAATTTCCAATGGTACACACCAGGGATGTCCGTTATCATCATTACTGTATATATTATCGATTGAACCCCTGGCAGTAGATATAAGATCTAACCATGAAATAAAAGGACTTTGAGAAGGTAATAACTAAAAAAATCAAGTTATATGCTGATGATGTACTGATAACTATCCAGAAACCTGAGGACTCCATTGACCAAGTGGCTGACACTATCAGAAATTATAGCAACTTCTCTAATTATAAGATAAACAACGAAAAATCTACAGCGCTATATTTAAATACATCCCAAAATAATAGTGATAGTATAGAAAAAAAAACCAATAGATTTCTACCCTTAATTAAAGAAACAAATCTTAACTTAAAGAAATGAAAAACTCTGGAAATCTCCTGGTCAGGGAAAATAAATACATTAAAAGCATATATTGTACCAAAATTCTCGTATATGATGAGAATGATTCCTATTAAGATCCCAGATAGTTGGTTAGAATGAATTCAAACATAATTTACTAAATTCATCTGGGCAGGCAAAAAACCCAGAATGAAAAAAGATATTATGTCTAGGAAAAAAAGATGAAGTAGGTATGAGTATTCCAATTATCCAAGACATTGCACAAGCTAATTTAGTAGCGCATGTCTTAGAGATAAATAAGGAAGACTCTGTAAATGAATACTGGTACATAAGTGAACAGACTCTGACCTTGGGAGATAGGGACTATAGAACTCTTCTATGGTCAATGGATAAAGAAACAAATCATTGTATTATAAACTCAAATCGATTATAGTCCAACAAATTTTTCCCACCTGGTCTCTATTTAAAAAAAAAAAAAATTGGGCTAAAAAAGAAGAAAATCCCCGGTATAAATTTAAGTATACTGGCAGATATAATGACAGATATAAATTTAGAAAGCTGGACCATGCGAGGTATAAAAAGATATCTAATCTCATGATAGGAAATAAAGTAAAATCTTACGAACAACTCCATAATGAATATAGTATACCTCCTAACGACTGGTTCATTTATATTAGGGTAAAATCCTTTTTAAACACATTTCTAAGATCTATCCCTTTAGAACCACCAGTTAAGCTTCTCTCAGACTTATACGAGCAGTCAGACTATAACCATTTGGCAAATAAATGCCAAAAAATTATTTACAAGACTCAGAGTCAATTAATTCCCCCGGCAATTATTAAATGGAATCAAGACCTGGCAAAAGATATAACTATGAAAGAATGGAACAACTCCCTTAATACAATATACAAAGTCTGTCATTGTCTAAATATACATGAAACCCATTATAAAATACTAAACAGATGGTATAGTACCCCCTATAAAATAGCAATAATGTATCCCACAGCTAAACCAAATTGCTGGAGATGCAATGAATTAACTGCAGACTTCAAACATATTTGGTGGGATTGCCCGAAAATAAGACCTGTATGAGATACGTTAAACCAATACTTATCAGATTTACTTGAAACAAGGGTTGAGCTGACTCCAAGTATGTCCCTATTACATATGGATATGACAGGCTTCAATAAAGAATCTAGACCTATTATTTTTCACATCTTAATGGCTGTGAAAACCTCAATAGCCAGGAACTGGAAATCCCCCCAGGAAGACAACTGGTCTAAGATCCACGCTCAAAGCATTATTCAATGTAAAATAGAAAGGGCCATCACTAATTTCACATCAAATAAGGGCCATCACTACACATACTGGGATAAATGGATTAAATAATTGGACCCTGAATAAGGAGGTATTCCTCATTTTTTGTTCCTTCCATAGGGGATTTTTCCTGTTCCTTATTTTATCTAACCGTATGGTTTACATCTGTTTAGGGAAATGTTTGGGCCTCCTCGCTCGAGCCTAATAAGGGAATTTATTTTTTTTCCCGCACCGCGAACCGAGCAAATGTTTGTATGTTCGTTAGTTTGTAAAATATTGGAATGTTTAATAAAATTGTAATAGTGTTAAAAAAAAAGAATGAAACAGAAATAATGCGGATAAGAATAGAGAGTGAAAGAGTAATTGAACAAAACATATGATGATTTGGTATTTGACAACTTAATTTATGATTACTCAAGAAATGAAACAACTAATACCATTTTTTATGCCTAGTCACTGTGACACAGAAATTCGTAGCCATTTTGTGGGAGTGTTCTAACTTCTGGGCGTGTTTTACTGTATCCCTGTTGTGTATATAAGTGGGCCACTTGGCCATAATGAAATTCATTTGTTTCTACCCTTCATCAAGTCTAGGCTGATGTTTGGGGAACTGGGAACTATAATCACTTTCACTTGGGACTCGGGAGATTTATACTCAGCCGTAGTATAGGAGATCCGTTACACTCTTCCTTCAGTCGTAGACAGCATGTAGATATCTCACTGTTGAATTTAAAGGGACACTAAAGTCACAGCCAGGGTACATGCAGGGCTGCATAAATGGAAACAAAGCGATTTTAACTCCTAAATGGCAGAGAATTGTGCAGTGAAACTTCAGCGGCATGATCTATACACTCAAACTGTCACGATCACATGGCCGCAATAGCAGTCTAAGGAACTGCAGGCAGTCCCTCAGCCACTGAAAATAATTTAGAAAAAATGATTATATGCTCTTAAGTGATATGTATATATTATATATGTATTTTTTAATATTAATATGTATACAGGGCCAATCCTGGGCGGGTGCACAGGGTGCAACTCACCCAGGCGGTGGGGGTGCAACTCACCCAGGCGGTGGGGGTGCCACGCGGAGCAGGCTGATGGGCTGTCACAGTGAGCCCAGCTGGCCACATAAGGGCGCCCCCGGAGCGGCGTTTATTTAGCAAGTCAAAGTAGGCACTTGCTTATCCCAGACGGCAGGTGCCTACTCTGCAGCACTATACCGGAACAGAGTGTGGAAGGAGGCAGGTGGCGAGGGAGCTCTGTCTGTGCTAATGATCTTCCTGCTCCCTCGCACGCCCTCTGTGGTGATGCTGGGATCCGGATAATGACGTAATTCCGGCCCCGCATCACTAAACAGTGCGAGGGAGGAGAGAGAAGCAGGAAGATCATGAAAGTCACTGGTTCCCGGGGAGAGGACCCAGAAGACTCCTAAAGGTAGGAGCAACAAACAATACAATTAATTTGTGAGTGTGTGTGCAAGACTGTAAGTGTGTATGTGTCTATCAGTGAGTGTGTGTGGTTTTTGTCAGTAAATGTATTTGATTGTCAGTGTGTTTGTCAGGAGGTGTGTGTGTCAGTGAGCATGTATGTGTATGTCAGTAAGTGTGTCTGTCAGTGAATGTGTGTATGTCAGTAAGTGTGTCTGTCAGTAGGTGTGTGTGTGAGTACGTGTCTGTCAGTGTGTGTCAGCGATTGTGTCTGTGTGTGTCAGTAAATGTGTCTGTCAGTGTGTGTGTGTCTGTAAGTGTGTGTAAGTGTATGTGTCTGTTACTGTTTGTGTGTGCATCAGCAAATGTGTCTGTCAAGTAAGTGGTTGTCTGTCAGTGAGTGTGTGTGGTCACGCAGGGCGTCATCACAACAGAGGCGGCAAGCGGCCAACACAGCTCGCAAGTTGAGGACACCAGCATATTAAATTTAAACGATTCCCTGATGGTCCACAGGTGCACACCAGTAGTAGGTACAGTCAGATCATATCCTCTCCCTCGTGGTTCCGGCGCTCAGTTAGTGAGTCAAAGAACAGGCTCAGAGATTCTCAAAATAAAACACACAATACTGGAGCACTTAGTATATAAAAAACTCTATAGGGGCAAAAATAGAGCTATTTATAAGTTGTATAAATTCCCAAATATTTGTTAGATACTAGCTACCCCACTTCAAAGTGATCCCTTCACCACATATAGAATATTAAGAGTATAGTATTAAGAAGTGGAGCGATATCAAGCTACAGTAAGCCCCTCTCCCACACGCAACAGAGCTTTCAAGAGGAAAAGAAAAATACTTATATTTCTCACTGGATGGTATTCCAATTCATACTCAGCATGTAAGAGAAAAATAAAAAGATACTAGAACAGATCTGTATAGATTCCTTTGCACTTCTTAAATAGTGCTAAATGTTACCTATAATTACTTGATCAGCTGGGTATTAAATAATTTATTACAGATATCAAGCAAATATCAAATAAAAAAAAAGTTATAAAAACAAGTATAAAACACAAGCATAAAGCATGTCACTGCTTCGTTAACATACATAAAGCAGGTCATTGCTTAATATGCACACATAAAACAGGTCACTGTTAAATATACAGACACACAGCAGGTTACTGCTTACTAGATATGACGGTGAGTAAAACGGTATGTGTTCCCGTTACCCACAACTAGACTTTCCCACACTGGGAGATGTCTCCTATGTTAATGGGTCAATGGAGTTCCTTTGATTCAGTCCGGGTAGCATGTGAATCATCAGCTGCTGCTCTTTCAAAAGTCCCGGCTTGTTAATAGGCTCCGCCCCCTTATCGACATATTTCCGTGTCTACGTGTTTCTCCGTTTACAGACCGCTTCGTCAGGACGTAAAGTGTATATATATATATATATGTATTATATGTAACATTTAGCACTATTTAAGAAGTGCAAAGTAATCAATACAGATCTGTTCTATGATCTTTTTATTTTTCTCTTACATGCTGAGTATGAATTGGAATACCATCCAGTGAGAAATATAAGTATTTTTCTTTTCCTCTTGAAAGCTCTCTTGCATGTGGGAGAGGGGCTTACAGTAGCTTGATATCGCTCCACTTCTTAATACTATACTCAGTGATTCTCAACCTGCGCGTTTACAACATTGAAAGCAGGAGCCGTGAAGGAGTGGGTATTATGATCTGAAACAACAGGACGTGTGCTCCCTGCTATTCAGCACCGGACTGCCAGGGAATAGATATAGGATACCACTGGACCACCAGGGTCATTTGTGACCAAGCACTAGAATGACGGGGCGCTGCAGGGAAGAGTGTCACAGCTCGGAACACGGTAGGACTCAGGAGAATTAGTGGTTGCTTTAGAATGCAGCCTTGAAAACCTCCCAACCCTAGAAACCCCCCCCAGTATGTGGCTGGCAAAGGAGCTGCTGAGTGTAGGTGCAATACTCTGCAGAGTAACTACCTACCTACCCTGTCACATAACCACACCTGAACACCAATTCAATTAACCTACCAACCAACCTGCTATACATTATTATTATGTTATTATTTATATAGCACCAACAAATTCCACAGCACTTTACAGTGGGTGGACGAACAAACATGTAGTTGTAACCAGAGAAGTTGGACACACAGGAACAGAGGGGTTGAGGGCCCTGCTCAATGAGCTTACATGCTAGAGGGAGTGGGGTAAAGTGACACGAAAGATAAGGATAGTATTAGACTAATGACAGTTGCAAGAGAGGAACCAGTCGAAAGCTATGTACAGTTTAATTGATACGCTTTTATGAAGAAGTGGGTTTTTAATGATTTTTTGAAGGAGTGGAGACTAGGTGAGGAGGGACAGAGGAGGGAAGTGAGTTCCATAGGAACGGTGCAGCCCTCGAGAAGTCTTGAAGGCGAGCATCAGAGGTGGGAGTACGGACAGAAGATAGTCTTCAGCAGAGCATAAGGGCCTAGATGGGATATACTTGTGTATTAGGGAGGATAGATAGGTGGGAGCACCATTATGTAGAGATTTGAAATCAAGAACCAGAATTTTAAACTGAAGCCAATGTAGGGAATTGACAGAAGGGTGAGGAGCGGGCGGACAGGAAGATAAGCCTCGTCGTCACATTCATTATGGACTGTAACAGCGCAAGTTGGGAGCACGTAAGACCACTGAGAAGCGGATTACAGTAGTCAAGGCGAGAAAGGACAGTGGAATGGACCAGCACTTTAGTCGCATCTGGTATTAAGTAGGGTCGGATGCGCGCAATGTTTTTGGAGATGGAAGCGGCAGGATTTGGCAATAGACTGAACATGAGGCGTAAAGGAGAGGTCGGAGTCAAAGAGAACGCCTAGGCAGTGAGCCTGCGTGGTGGAGCTGATGGTAGCACAATTGACTTGGAGGGAGACAGACACAGTAGTAGCAACACTTGAGGGAAGAAAGACCAGAATTTCAGTTTTGGTCAAGTTGAGTTTAAGGAAGTGGGCAGCCATCCAGTAAGAAATAGCAGAGAGGCAGTCAGAGACACTAGTCAAGAGGGACTGGAAGAGATCACAAGAGGACAGATAGATTTGCATGTCATCCGCACAGAAATTATATTGGAAGCCAAAGGAGCTAATGGGTTTACCAAGGGATGCAGTATAAATAGAGAACAGTAGCGGACCAAGGACTGAACCTTGGGGGACACCAACAGAGAGATGCACAGCCAGAGAAAGATACATAGGCCTATGTCTATGCATGGGACTTTGTGTGTCTTTTAATGTATGTGCCTCTGTGTTTTTTTAATGAAGGTTTGTAATTGTGTCAATGCATGTATGTCTGTGTCTGTGTTTTGGTGTGTCTGTGTCCATGATGATGTGTGTCTGTGATCATTGTAATGGTGTATGTTAATTCATGTCTGACATGGTCATTCACTAAAACAATTGTCAGGAATGCAATGCTTCCAGTTTGACTATTCTGTCATCCACTTTGAAATGCACTATGAATTCCTGACAATTCTCATTTTTGTAAATAACCCGGTATGTATGTATGTGACTGTGTATATTGGTATGTGCCTCTGTATGTGACAGTGTGTGTCTGTGTATGTATGTGCACATGTCTATGTATGTATGAGATTTATTGTTTAATATCGCATCACTAAGTCTAGAGCCGCTGCTGCACAAAGGAATACCTGCCTCCCCAACAGGGGCACTAGGGACCCTGGCCTCCTTTCCTCCTACTAGTGTTCATGACAGCAAGGAGGAGTATGTGTGTTTGTGTGTGTGTGAGAGAGAGAGAGAGATTCAGTTTCCATATGACAGTGTGAATGTGTGTGTATTGTATGTGACGGTCTAGGTATGCATGGGCCAGTGTGTGTGTAATTGTGTGATTATGTATGTTGTAATCGAAAACGCTGAGTGCTGGACTTCCTTGTTTTGTGTACCACTGTGTCTGTCAGCATTTGTGTCTGTCAGGGAGTATTTCAAAACTAACAGACTGCAGGGACGAGAGAGAGAAAGAGACAGACAGAGAGAGACAGACGACTGCCTGTGACTGTGTGTGTGTGACTGTCTGCCTGTGACTGTGTGTGTGACTGTCTGCCTGTGAGTGTGTGACTGTCTTCCTGAGCAGGGGCGGACTGACCACTCGGGCAGATCGGTCATGGACCGAGGGCCTGAGTGAGTCAGGGGCCCTGCTGCACACATGATTCTGAAGTGGAGATCAGACATCTCCATAGTCAAAAGGAAGGCTGCAGGGGCACATGATGACATAGGAGGGCCCCTGCAACACACATCCTTGCAAATAAATTCCCCGTTAATTGTGAGACCTGGCAGCATACCTGCTCTTACTGCCAGGTCTCATCTCTATGCCTGCGATCAGTACAGAGTGCTCCATGGGAGGATGGGAGGGTGCAGGAAGTGACATCATACCCCTGCTCTCCGCTCCTCTCGCATGGAGCTCTCACGGCACGGAAGGATAGTGAGAACTGGAGCCTGGCACAGCAGATCTCTCCCAGCCCCCAGGTGCTGCTTGAGAAAGCTGGTGGGAGGAAAAAAAAATCAAACTGGTGCAGGTAAGCAGGCTAGGAGAGAAAAGGGGAGAGAAATATGTGGGATGAAGGGATAAGCCAGGGCAGAGGCACACAGGATGTTTTTGTAGAGGTTTTAAATACACCTCTCATTCACACAGAGGTTTCAAATACACCTCTCATTCACGCACTCTGACTCAGGTTTTAAATACACCTCTCATTCTCACATACACTGACATAGGTTTAAATACACCTCTCATTCACACATACACTGACACAGGTTTCAAATACACCTCTCATTCACACATACACTGACACAGGTGTCAAATACACCTCTCATTCACACATACACTGACACAGGTTCAAATACACCTCTCATTCACACATACACATGCACTCTTACACAAATGTTACAAACACCCCTCATTCACATATATACTGTGCAAACATACTGCATTCACACACAAACAATCCATACAAATCTATCTTTACATTCTTACACAGACATTTCATACTAATAGACACTGGCATTCATACAGCAACACACAAGTCCTCCACAAATTACACCCCTGTATTCACATTCAACATAAATACACCCTTACATTCACGCATCAACATTCCATACAAATACACTCCCGCTTTTAGAAACATCTGCTCTACTGACTCATGGAACAATGCATTTACCCATTTACGCTACATGGACGTCTGCATTTTATACTCTTTGGCACTACACAAATTCTTTTTCATAGAAAAACATGTGCAGCAAAATGCCACACTACACCAATTATCACCTCTGCATTGAGATGCAATGAATCAATCCTTAGCATCCTGTGTCTCCATCCAGAGCAGGGCCGGCGCGTCCATAAGGCGGCACAGGCGGCCGCCTTAGGGCGCACCGGCTCTGGGGGCGCAAAATTCCAGTGACCGGCAGGAGGGAAGTGCTCCCTCCTGCCAGGTCACCTCCTGGATCCCCGGCGCGGCGTGCGGCTTATTTGGATGCCGAGGGAGCTCTGATCTCTCTGATGTGCTCCCTCGCAGGCTGTTTACTGATGACGTCATATTCCCGCTCCCGCGGCAGCAGTAAGCAGCCTGCGAGGGAGCACATCAGAGAGATCAGAGCTCCCTCGGCATCCAAATAAGCCGCACGCCTCCCAGCAGCCCCACTGGACCACCAATGAGAGACCCACGCCAGCTCTCCAGGTAGGAAGGCTGGGTGGGAAATGTAAATTTAATTTAGATTATTAATGTGTGTGTGTGTGCATGTGAGTATGTGTGTCTGTGAGTTTGTATGGTTCTGTCAGTGTGTGTGAGTGAGTGTGTCTGTCAGTGTGTGAGTATGTGTGTCTGTGAGTTTGTATGGTTCTGTCAGTGAGTGTGTGTCTGTCAGTGTGTGAGTATGTGTGTCTGTCAGTGTGTGTGTGAGTATGTGTGTCTGTCAGTGTGTGTGAGTGAGTGTGTGTGAGTATGTGTGTCTGTCAGTGTGTGTGAGTGAGTATGTGTGTCTGTCAGTGTGTGTGAGTGAGTGTGTGTGAGTATGTGTGTCTGTCAGTGTGTGTGAGTGAGTATGTGTGTCTGTCAGTGTGTGTGAGTGAGTGTGTCTGTCAGTGTGTGTGTATGTGTGTCTGTCAGTGTGTGTGTGAGTATGTGTGTCTGTCAGTGTGTGTGTGTGTGTGAGTGTGTCTGTCAGTGTGTGTGTGTGTGTCTGTCAGTATGTGCGTGTGTGCATGTGAGTACGTGTCTGTCAGTGTCTGTGAGTTTGTGTGTGTGTGTGTCAGTGTGTGTTTGTCAATGAGTCTGTCAGTGTTTGTGTGCCTGTCAGTGTGCGTGTGAGTGTCTGTCAATGAATGAGTGTGTCAGATAAGTGAGTCTGGCTGTCAGAGATGTCTGTGTATTTGTCACTGAGTGTGTGTGACTGTCAGTGTTTATACACCCCTGACTGTAGCGTGGCCAAGCGGAGTGTACCATGGTACAGGAACTTCGCTCCGCTCAGGCACGCTACAAGAAAGGTAGGAGGCACACCAGGAAGGGGAGGGGACCACTATGGGGGTGGGTGGCGCACCAAGGGACAGTGTCTGTGAGAGATACCCTAAGGAGAGATACCCTAAGGTACAGGAAAAGGAGGGAGGGGGAGAGGAACACTAAGCGACAGGGAACAGAGGGGGGAGGGGAGAGGAACACTAAGGGACAGGGAAAGGAGGGGGGAAGGGAAAGGAACACTGAGGAACAGGAAAAGGAGGAGAGAGGGGAGAGGTACAGTAAGGGTCAGAGAAGGGAGGGGACCATTAAGGGACAGGGAGAGGGGCTGGATGTGAAAGAAACACACACCGGGGCTTGAGAAGGAAAGAGACACAAAGGAGCTGGGAAGAATAAAAGACACAAAGGGGCTGGGAGAAAAGGAGTCACACAAAGGGGCTGGGAGGAGTAAGACACAAAATGTGGGAGGATGTAAGAGTCATACAAAGAGGAGAGATAGGAGACACACAAAGGCAAAGGGAGTCAGATATTTAAAAGACGGGTTAAGAAACACAAAAGGGAGGTTAAGAGGCACATGGGTGAAGATGTTTTTGGGGGGGCGGAAAAATGCATCTTCGCCTATGTACCCAAAATTCTTTGCACCGGCCCTGATCCAGAGTGTGGAGATGCTAAACATCAGCAGCACTGACCTATCAAGTAACTCTAGTGGCTGTCTGAATGACTACCACTAAAGGTGTTCCTATGCAGCAATGTAAACACTTCCTTTTCTGAAAGCCAGTGTTTACGTTAAAAAGCCTGCATGAACTAGCTATGGGCATCAGAACAACTACATTAATCTGTAGTTGTTCAGGTGATTATAGTGTCCCTTTGATACCGGAGAAACTGACGGAAGCAAAGCACAGAGGGATGGACACAGGTTTCTTCAGGAAGGAAGAGATTCTTTATTGGATCACCGATCGGGACTCAGAGGGACTAATGTCACCAAAAATACAGCAAGTTCTGAGCCCTGAACAATAGTGCAGGCTCCCTATATAGGCACATAACTCCTCCCATATTAAGCTCCACCCGCACATTCTCTTGACCAATCATTACAAATAAGAATTAACTTCCTGCTTGACCGCATGGCTTGTCCAGCACAATGGAGGAGGGGAATACTACATCCTGTATTCTTGCACATGCTCCGTACACTACTGATCGTATCTTGCCTCGTGCAACCAACTGATCGATACGTCAGCATATGCACGTACACATGCCACGTGGTAATCTCGGCCTACTAAATTTATTTTTACCGAGATTCCACCACATTCCCTTTGATGCCTCTTGATATTTTACAATTACTTGAGGCATCACTTAACCTTGGTTTGCATACACCACAAGTTACCTTTGAACCAGACCAGACTTATCCTATGATGTGAATCTTCAACACTCGTCTTCCTGCATTGGTTCTCCCTGATCTAGAGCCTTATATTTATAAATTGCCATTATCTGTGCAGCAGCCTTCCTCTCTGCTATATTTTCTATCAGGCTTTGCACAGACCTAACTACTAAGGGTATAAGACACGGCAGGAGTAGACACAACATTAAAATCAGTAGGACTCCACCTACCACTGCCTTAAGCCCTCCAAACCACTCATACCAGCTACCAAACCAACTACTTGGATTGTACCCTTTCCATACCTGAGTAGGCACATGCGCTAGTTTAACCATATGGCTAGTAAGCTCAGCTATTGCTTGCCCTTCGTCATCTATTTGAAGACAGCAATTGCTCAGGTTAAACTTCCCACATACACCTCCCTCTACTGCCAAAAGATAATCCAAGGCTAATCTATTTTGGTAAACTGCTGTCCTCATCCTGGTATTATGCTTCGCTAGAAGATTGAGCGCTTGTGATGTCTCGTTAGTAATGATCTCAACCACCGCCTGTAACCTTATAATGCGGTTGAGCATATAAATAGGGGTTCTATAACCAAAGGTACCATCCTCTGCCCACGTGGCTGGCCCATAATAATCTATAATACGCTGGGGAGGCCATTCATTATCTTCCCAGGCACCTATCTCTATGGGTCCCCTTTTCTTCCTATGATTCACATCATACACTTTAACACCTAAAGTCTCACCTGTTTCAATAGGCAACAAGAAGAAGGATGGTTTTAACATACCCAACACACATGCCCCTTCCCAGTCCTGTGGTAACTCCGAATAGGCCTTCTTACCACAGATCCAGTACAAATTCGCTGGGGCTCTCCAGTTAGATGTGATGGATAGATCAAACCATACGTCCTTTAAATTGGCATATCTTGCAAACGGGTTAGATGGTTCTGAGACATTTGAAGCCGACCACCAAGTTGTATTCTTTGTATCATCATCATAAGCTTT